CTCACGCCGCCGCACCGGGCTGAGCCGCCCCAGCCAAGGCGGCTGCTCGGGTTTATCTCCAGCAAGCCCCTGCATGGCACTGACCAGGGCACAGGGCTGCCATATAGCACCCCAAATCAGCCTGGGTTTTAAACAAACGCTGGTGCACACGTGAATCCCCAAGCTAGACACACCACGCAGCATCCTGCACAAGCCCTACCACTCTTCCCTCCACAGGCTTCAGGTCCGGGGGCAGAGGATGCTGCTACACTTTTCCCAGAGTCTCATCTTTGCTCATTAACAAGCGCATTATCATGTGCACATCACCGCAGGGAAACTGCACCGTACAGGAGCTGCAGCTCCCTGGCTCCCAGGAGCCGGGCTTAGGGCCAAGGAGGAAGAGAACCACCACACAAGCACCACAAAACAAAACAAAACTACAGCAAGAGACTCAAAATGACAGCGAACGATTGATTACCTGTTCATCCCCGGAAGGTTGCCCCAGAAATAGCGTGCTCGGTGGGCAGCTGATATCTTGATAGCATCGATCATAACCGGGTTACACTGCAGATGATGAGAGGGGGAAAAATAAAATTTAAGAGGAGGTGTGGGCTCATCCCTCTCCTGCACAGGAAGCCCTTCTGTGCTGCAGGGACTTCAAAGCCTTCAGCAAATGCTCCTAAAGATGTAGTCCCCTCAACAAACCCTTGCTCCACCAGAGCACGGTCCGGTCAGCCACGTGGGCTCCCACGACAATGGCCAGCAGCTAACGAAAATCACAGCATGCTTCAGCAACCCATTTCTCTGGGCCAGGATCAGGACCATCAGCCTCCGATGGGGCTTCTACACACATGGGTTCCTGCCGATCCACAGCCCGCCTTGGCTACCACAGAGTTAAAAATCCTTTCTAGTCCCTGACCTCCCTAGAAACAACAGGCATTGCTCCGGAACAGATGCTTTCTGCAAGGCTGGCAAAACCCCTCCCCCAGAGAAGCAGTGCTCGGGATTAACCTGCTGAAAGCCAGAGGGGATCCAGAGCCAAGACTAAAAAGTTGATTCCTGGTGTCTGCATCAGGCAGGGCGTTTTCCAGCGTCAGTGGGTTTTCCAGCATCAGGGCCATACCAAACCACAGCCAGACCCTCACAGCCTCGGCACACCTTGCATAGCCCAGCAAGCGCCTCCTGCTCCAACGTCTTTCCCGAAGCCAGCAGCAATCCCTACCTCCAGAAACCGAGAAATGTCCCTCTTGTCGTTGACCCTCATGGCCACCACGTTCTCGAACATCCAGAAGAAGGGGCGCTCCTCTCCCGCCTTGGGACGGGCATAGTTGAGCAGGTGGTAAAATTCGAAGAACAGCCTCCCGGTTCCTTCTAAAAGTGAGAAAGCCGGAGCGGCAGGTTGGAACCAGCTGTGGGAGCAGGGGGCACGGGTCTGGGGGACCTGGCTGCCCTCCCCACCGCGACTGGCATGGAGACAGCCTGTGCTTTGCAGGTACCACCCCACGGTTTGCAGGTCAGAGAGGAGCCACCACCAACGAAGACTGGGGCTGAACCCCTCCCCTGGACTTTAAGGTGGCTCTGCACCCCAGAACACCCTGGGGGTACCCAGCCCTGCAGAGGCCAAGCAGCCTTACCATACAGCCCCTTCCTGGCCGGATTGACAAGGGAGAGGTCGTTACAGGGGCTTCCACCGATCACCAGGTCAAAGGGACCCCACTCCTCGATCTAAAGTGAATAGACAGACCCAGTTAGGAGACGCCATGGAAGCAGGTCTCTCCTCCCCGGCAGGACAGTGTGCAAGCCCGTCCCAGGGCTGGTGGGGTGAGACCCATGGAGCCGTGGTGCCCCGTTCCCCAGCCCCCCTGCAGAACCGGTGCTCACGTTTCTCTTGGTTATGTTCCTGACATCGTGCACATAGGTGATGTTGCTCTCGTGCTGCATGGTGCCCACAGCGATGGGGTCTTCGCAGATCTCTGAGGCAATGTACTTCTCCACTTGGATGCCCAAGTCCTTCAGCACCAGGTACCCTGCCAAGGGACAGAGGTCTGATGTTGCACTGCTCTCTTTAGCCTCCCAGTCTCCTTCGTCAGCACTGAAGCTCGATGTGGCCGCTCTTGCATGTCCTAAGTGAGTGAAGTCACACAGGACTTCTGGATGAGCAAACTATTTTTTTGACCTGTTCCTCCAGGCAAGTTTGCTCCCAGAAAGAACTCCAGAGCCGAGTAAACTGAATCAAACCAGTTTGCCCTCAGGCATTTCTTCACCAGAGGCCGGGTTACCAACCCTCCCACAGCTCTTGCTTCTCAGTGAAACCAGCCACCCGAGATGGCACTCGGTGCAGCAGGAACCTCTGTGAGCAAAATTCCTATGCCCTCCCTCCCTCCATCCATCCCTTCTTCCCTTCATCCCTCCCTCCTCCCCAGCCCTGTCCAGCAGGAAGGGGAGCCCCTGCCCTCATCCCCTTCTGATGGAGATACCCCTGCCCTTCACCCATCCCCTTCTCCCCAAAGAGCTTGCAGAGACCGGTTTCAGGCCATGAAACTATTCATCCCTGACATCCAGTGCTGTAAGCCATCAGGACGGTGCTCTTCAGTGCCTCACCTGTTGCTATGCCATCAAATAAAGAGAGCACTCGAATAGGTCTCCTCTTCGCTGGTGGGACTGTCGGGTAGATTTTGGGTGCAGCCTGCAAGGAAAGGAAAGCAATGAAGCCCCAGCTCTGGGCAATGCTGCGATGCCCTATGAGGCTAAACCTTGGCTTTACAGGCATCGCCTCCACCTTCAGGGCAGCATCTCTGAGGCCAAGAGCCCAGCACCCTTGGAGAGAGTGGATGAGCAAGACCAAGGCAGAGGGAAGGAATTTTGAGCCTTGCCCCCTGCAGCCCTCTCCCCCAAAGCCCAGCGCACTGGGCTTGCCTGCCCGCAGCCCTTACATATTCCTGTCCCTTGTCGCTGGTGAAGAAGTCCTGCAGGCGAGTGTTCCAGTCCTGCCGGCGCTGCAGCACCCCGTAGCTCCTCTGGGGCTGGCACATGTAGCAGTTCCAGGGCTCCTGCTCTTTTGCCTTGGCCGACGTCCCTCGCCCCACCAGCACCTCCAGACACTCCACACAGAAGCACCTGCCCAAACCACAACACCTCGTGCCCGTCACCTCCAGAAACCCCTCTGGGTCACCCCAGCCTCTCCTGGCGTCTCCTTTGCCATGCACCTGAGTCCCCACCCCATTTTGTAGGATGCCTTTCCATGCGGTATCCTGGTTTTTAAGGCAGCTAACACAAGATGGTGACCAAGGTGTGGGTAAAGCTCCTGCCATCCTCCCCAGAGTTTATTCAGGTGCAGAGTGGCTCAGCAAGGACCGGGTGGGCTGTGCTGGGATGTGCTGTGTGGCAGCCAGCTGGGCACCAGTGCAGCACCCTGCCCAGGCTCAGGCATGACCCCGCTTCCCTGTGGCTCCCCAGGAGCAACACTGTGAGCTGAGATGGAGGAGCAGAGACGGGGCCCACCTGCAGCAGCTGGCGTTGCTGCAGAGCAGCAGCTCCTTGCCTTCGCAGCAGACAGTGCAGTAGGACTGGTAGCCGTCTTCATCGTACATGTAGAAGAGCTCCAGGAATCTATCCTAGCAAAAGGACAGCCGGGAGGAGAGAAGGACAGAGGATCAGGATCTGTGCTCAGAGGGTGAAGAGAGAATGCAGCTCTGCTCCATCCCTGGTGCATGCCAAGAGCTCGGAGAGGCACATCCTCAGTGCTTCATGTGGAGAGCACATGCCAAGGGACAGCCCCGTGGTCACCAGGACCTGGCACGGACACCTCTGCTGTCCTGACAGTGCTGACTGCAGCAGGGGTAGACTCTCACCCCAAACTCCGGCCCCCGCTCAGCCCCGGGACAGCAGCACTTACCCTGCACGTCTGGCAGAGGCCCCCCTCGAACAGCGGGTGGAAGGTGGCCGGGTTTCTCCTCCCACAGGACAAACAGCTGTCTGTGTGACAGAAAGAGCTCCGCTCACCCCGGGGAAGGGAGAGCGCAAGAGCGCAGACCCCACACCTCCGTCCCTCCGCGGGCTGCAGAGACTGGAGCCGCTCCTCTCAGCCACATGCGGGTGCAGATGCAACTGCGGCTCCGCGGGAACGGGCCCTGCGGGGAGGATCGGCACAGCAGTCTGCTCCCCTCAACACTAAGTGAGGCCCGGTAATCTGCAATCACAGCACTTCCCCCCTTTTCTACACGGTGCGGTTAAGATGGGACCCATGATCTTTGCCCAGTACCAACTGTAAGCACCCGCATCAGCCCCACACCTTTTCCCAAGGGACACAGGGCAGTCGATTACCTTCGAGACTCCCACTGTTGTTCGTAACTTCGGAAACCATTTGCTCTTTATAAAATTAAAAAGACAAAAAATAGAGATTTATCATTCCTTATGTAGCAAACTTTAAATGCGCTCTCCTTACAGATGCCTTATTTCTTGCATTAAAACTGCTACAGCTTTGCGGAGCGCTGCACAGAGAAGGCAGCCCATGGGCACATTAGAAATTTTGGTGCAAAACCCATGTCCTTTCACTGCTGGAGATATTAGAGCTAGAGCTCTGAGTAGCAACACACAAATCATTTCCAAGCTGAGCAAATAATGGAGCCCAGCTTGTGGCCCCACACCTTGAAGTTGGGTTTGTGGTGTCTTATAAGGCACAAGTGAGCAACACGAGACCACCTAAGCTTTTGCCTTCAGAAACTACGCTCATGGTCCCTGGGAAGAGCCAAGCCCTTTCCCAGAGAGGGTACCCAATGCTTTTCAGGATGCACGGGCCCAGGCCATGCCGCTCCCCAGGTCTTGCCACCAGTTACCTCGGGTCTGGTCCTCTTCCACTCGCTGCTCCTTGCTATTGTTGCAGAGGTTGGTCTTCAGCCTCTTGGTGGGGGGGCACTGCTCGAGGGAGATCACCTCCTCCGTCCCGTTCCTTAGAGCCCCGTTCTCTGCAAGGGAATGGCGGCTGAGCCTCCAGCCCCGGGAGCTCCCCAGGGGTACATCTCCTGCCAAGCCCTGTCATGTCCCACCCCAGCCAAAAGAAGAGCCCTTCCTGACCGCCCGGGTTCCCAACCCATGGCTCGAGGCTCAGCCAGGTCGTTGGCTTCCAGGAGCAATGGCTTTGAGGGTGCTTTACTCTGGCCTTTCACAAGGCTGCTGTGGGGGACCCCATGAGGAGCGAAGAGTCCCAGGGCCATCTCCTGCCCAGGCCAGCACAGCCACAGCAGAGGGGTCAACCAGGGCTGACCGCAAAGTCTGGGTACCGGCGGCTGCTGCCCATGCCAAGTCCATGCCCAGCTCATGCCACCGCCTCACCTGGGGCTTTG